CTACACCAAACTGGTTCTCATTAAAATAACTTGCTCTCCAAATATTTTGAATTCCCACAAAATAACATGTTTAGAAGTTGCTCTTCAGTAATGATAACCTGATTATATCTTCAAAGAGCATAATATTTGTGTATCATCAAAGCCTCCAGGTTACGGCCTCAGCCATGGATTCTCCAGCTCTCTGGTCTAGCAGCAAAGGGGGCATACTCCCTACCTCTGTCTGTACATATACGTACATAAGTGTTCCCCCGTCTCAGCACAACAGGGGCCAAGAATTAGCACTTGGCATTTCTGTCTTTAGATAACTAGAGGTGAGTTGTCAATTCCCCAACGTCCTATCTTGCCTCACCTCGGACATCCTGCTGGGGCTGGGCCAGTAAGCAAGCTGTTTTGCCATGGTAATACAATTCCTTTGCATTACTGACCTCAGTTATCGTTACCATGGTGACAGAAAATACAGCAGCTCTTCCATCAGCAGCCCATAATTCCATCTGGGGGGCAACCTCAGTTTTCCAGCAAAAACAAGTCTTGTATCCCAGACAGGCATGAAATATCCTAATCCATCATGCTCACTGTCCATCCTAACTGGGGAACACAGGAATATAATACAAATATCCACATGATAGTAAATTGGGTAAAGTTGTTCAAGATCAATGCAGTGACCTCAACAATGTCAACTGTTATAAGCAGGTACCTTTACTTGATGGCTGCTCTCAGCTGTGGAATTATACCAGCGGAAACTTTCTAAGTCTAAGTGTCATCCAGAAACACTGACCTTCTTTTCTAAAAAAAATTAATTTTCAGAGTAGAAGAGGGGCAGTGGCAGAAATAATTTACAATGTCAGTGGATTTTTATCTACATGTCTGTAATCTTTAAATAACTTATATATTCTGATCTTAATCTGAGCCCTGGAAATAAAAATTCAAATAAATTTTGGAAAATAATTAGAGAATGAGACCATTATTATTATAAGTATAATATTATTAAATATAATGAAGTGTAATGTACCAGCGTTATAAAATAAGCTAGGAACCTGAAATGAGATTCCAGAATCCAGAACTGCAATGGGTATACAAAACTCGCAATTTTTCGGGTATCAAAGAGGCAAAATAAACCTCCTTAGAGTCTTCAAAAAAGCCAAACTTTAAAAACAGAATGGGACAAAAAAAGTGAGCTATTGATCCATGTTCTTCTCATTTATAGAACTTTGCCTTTCCCCTTATGAAAACACTAATGGGCTAGGCTTCTTGCCTAGGAACACACGTGAATTACTCAATACCGGAAATGTAAGCATTAATCAATTTATCAGGACATCACCTAATTGTTCATTATAATAGTTAACCCAAGATATTTTACTTCCTTGTTCAGCAGCTGAATATTAATAATGATACCAAGTTCACCTAAGGCAGTGTTTCTCAACCTTGGCAACTTTAAGATGTGTGCACTTGAAGTCCCAGAATTCCCCAGCCAGCAAGCTGG